ACCTGGTCAGAGGGCAGCAGAGGAGAGCGAGCAGGAAGGCATGCCTACTTCCTAAAAACCCTGGCCCCCAAATGAAGCATGTCACGTCCACTCATATTCCATTGCTAGAAATTCATCATGTGGTCACACCCAACTCTAAAGAAGGCAAGCAAATTCTGTCTAATACACACCCAGGAAGAAAAGGGAGAAACCATATTTGAGTGAGTCACCAGTCATCTCTGCCCCACCTCCAGTCCCTACAATACAAAGCAGAGAGATGCGGTAAGATTAGCACAAAGTGCCCTGGAGTATGGGAAGATGGAACTTAATTGGAATGGTGTCCATTTGGAAAGGCCTGTTGAGAGATGATTTTCAGTGAGTCTTAAAGGATAGGTAAGTCCTTGACAGAAACAGATCCTAACAGGCATAACTGAGACTGGAGTCGAAAATGGTGAGGTCTGAAGTCAGGAGAGAGTGAGGGTGAGAAAAACGGTATGCTTGTGCCTTGGTCTATGTGTACATATCTCAGCATCTAGTTGAAATTATTTTAATAATCTATTTTCTTGAACTCCTTCTATAATTAATTAAATAAATAGAATTACCCCTTCCACCACGAGTATCTTAGTCCCTAATGTGAAAATATGAAATAATTAGAGGGTGTGCTGTATAAGAATTTTAATGTCATGGAAAATTTCTATTTTCAAGACTGTGCTAATTATACAGGATGAGGCGGAACAAAGGGAAGATGCACAATTAGCAAAGCCCAGCTTATTACAACCAGCTCTGTTTAGAGGCCTTTTGAATCTAGATATGTAATAAATCAAGACTGATCTAGTATTTATCTTTTAGAGGACAACTCTGGGGATTTAGAAATGTAGGGATGGGCCATTCTGGATTTGGCTGTGGTGATGGTATAGGAAACTTTTACACTCTAGTCTGAGTGGCATGGAGAAAGGGTCTTTAGAGGGAGACGACCTCTGTCCCTTCCTTGGTCTGCTGCTCATTGGCTGGGTGATCATAACTTCTATGGGCTGCTTCCTCCACTGTATGGGGAAAATGATACATATGAAAGGGAGACAGGTTAGTAAGAAGCTAGGAAAATTCCTTGACAAGTGGAATGAAGGAAACAGAGACAAAATAGTTAAGCAGACAGCTGAGCAATTAACAGCCAGCTAATAAATTACAAGACACTATTCTTCATAGCCAAAGGCACTTAGGAACAGATAGCTTACATCTCTCCTCCCCAACCAGAGAGCAGTTAAATCACCCTAATCTGGGAGGTAGATAACAGAGACCCAGTTAGTGCCATTAGTGCCAGCCAAACGCAAGAACGGATAAGGTCAGGGAATAAATAACAAAAACCCCAGTTTGAGCCAGACAAATCCAAGATAGAGGTGAAGATGACCAGCGAATGATCCCAAACCCCACTATATAATTTAGCATATTGAAGTACATGCCTAGAAAGCTGAAGGATATTCTGCTGAGATCCTCCTCTGAGGTCTCCCCTGAAGTTCCCACCTTTAGAAAACAGATAAAAACCCTCAAGACAAAGGACCCAGTGTGCACTCTCCCTTGAGCACGTCTGTCTGCACCTCCCTTTACTCAGGCTCAAACTTTTGCTTTCTTTCTTTCTCTTAGGCTCCAAGAGCCCCCTTTTGCCTAACTTTTCAGTAAGTCAGAAGCAGCTCCACCTTAGCTCACTTTTGTCACTGTGACTTTTACTTCTCAGTGAATCCAGGCAGCCAGCTAGGCTCACTTCTGTTACTGTGATCTTGCTTCATGTATCCTAAGCCCTTCCTTTGTTTCACTGACCCCAGCTTTAATAAACACATTTTCAAAATCAAATTTCAAGAAACCACACATTCCAAGCTGTGCTGGGGTAGACCTGCCCCAGTCCAGTCCCTTTCCGGTGACAAAAGCACTTAGCACTGAGCCTGGAGTATATTAAAGACCCATTTTTAAAGTTTAGATCCATTTCCTTTCCTTCTCCTACTTTATTTCCCTTAAGCAGGATTTCATTCACCTCAGTAAAAGTCCTTAAGACTTTAAGAACTGTATAAGAATCACTGTAATATCAAATGGACATACTGCTTCTAAGTCCACCAAACTTCAATAAAGGCAGTTACAATATCTGTAGCCCTCTCTGAGCAGTGTCAAGGATAAAGAAATACCTTAGTTGTCAAATCCAAGGAAGACTGACTCAGCTCTTCTTTTCTTACAAAGAAGATAAACTACATCTCCTGCAATTTGCTTTTTGCTAGGGGGTTTTTGTTTTGTTTTCAAACAAGATCTCCAGTGCAAAAGACAAATTCTCCTACATATATATTAAAAAGGGGCTACGAGGAGTCCCATAAAGGGTTGTGCTTTTCTCTAGATTCTGTTGCCAGAATATCAGAAATTGATATGAAAAGCTAAGAGCTTAAAAATTGCACAATAGTACATATTATTCAATTGCAAAATGGAAAACTGCTGCTCATCCCAAGCCTCAGCTCAGCTCTGAATAGTCTATACACTCAAGTGCATCTCAGTATTGACTCGGGATAGAGGCCCTCAGCTCCTGAGGAGGCATTAGGATTGCATTATCATATCAATGGCCCACATGCAAACTTCTTCATAAAAAAAAAAGGATCATAATCCAGAGGCAAGAGATAAAATATGAGAGTTTGATTCCTGTAAACAAATCAAAGGTATTTAGAGTCAAGCAGCTTAATCTGTGTTAAAACATTGCCAGGAATATAAACATCAGAACAGCCTCAGAGCCAGAGCAGGAAAGAACTGAGAGGGTAGAAGGAACTCTAAAGATTATTTGCTGCTTTTCCCTGATTTACTATAATTCAGCCCTATTGGCCCTCTTTCGGTTCTGTGAACCAGCCAAGCTCCAAGCCTCTTGTCTTAAAGTCTCTATTCCTTTGCCTCTTCACAGATGCCTCGTGTAATAGTCAGGATTGTCTCCAAAAAGCTGCATTAACAAAAGCTTCCATATCTCAGTGGCTCAAGGCAATTAAAGTCTGTTGTTGCTTTCCCATGCTACATGTTCAGAGGGGGTTGGCCGAGGGGGTCTTTGTTCCTTGAAGTCTCGAAAGTTTCAGGTTAAGGGGGCAACCACATCTTGGAACACACCACCAGTCAGAATGCCACAGGGAGTTAGAGCAACAATTAAATGCTCCAGCAAGGAAGTAACATATGTTGTTTCTAAGACAACACATTGGCCAGACCAAATCCCATGGCCCTATGAAACCCCAGGGAGACCAAGGCAACGCAATCCTATAATGTGTTTGGAAAGGGAGGGGAATAGAATTAGCTCTTTTGCCTCTCACACCTCCCCTGGCCAACCTTTTTGAAGCAGGTTCTAGCTCTTTACTGCCTTAGCACCCCTTTTGTATTTTTCATAGTGCTTATCACAATTTGTAATATCATTATTTACTTAATAAATAATGTTTTGTTTTCAGTCTGTTTCCACTATCGAACTATAAGATCTCTAAAAGGAATGTCCATGCCAGCACACTAATCCAATGACACAGTTATCAAAACTGGTTCAGTCTGCCTAATATATTTAAATACTGAATATATTTGTCTTGAATTTGGAGAATCCTCCTGGTGATAATCTCCTGTCTCTCAGCCCAGGTCCTTCCTGGCTGTGTGCTGGCGCCTATCCATGGCTCCTCATCAGAAGACCCTCCCTCTACACAACGTCAGGGCTAAAGCAAAGGGAAGCTGGGCATTCCTTCAAACACAGCTATGAAGCCAACTGGAAAACTATCAACTAAAACCTCACAGAAATCTCCAAAGCTGGTGAAAACCAACATAGCCAATGCAAATCGCTGTACACTTTGTAAATAATGAAAAGAAATTTGGCGAACTGGTGTTTTCTTGAATTTATTTTTGGCAAATTAGCTTGCAGGGGATTAGCTCAGAGCTACCCTCTCACCCTCCACTTACAGATGTACTTTATTGTCAAACAGCCTGGTATTTGGAAGGCACTCTGAAATAACTGTCCCTTTTATGGACAAAAACTGTAGTTTAAAGAGATTAAATTACTGGCCCAGATCATAGAGGTGATGGTGAGAAGATAAAATGTGGGCTTCAAGTCTCTTCTTGCCCATGTGGTGCTCCTTTTCCTGGCCCATAAAACAGGAAATCTGCAATCGTTTTTACAAAGTTATCATGCTTTTTAGGGCAAAAGTAAGTGTATAAAGGAATATTTTGAATATTTCTCTTGATTTTTATTGTTTTGTTTTTTTGTTAGTCCTCACCTGAGATACTTGTCCAGTGATTTTTATTTTTAGATAGAGAGGGAGGGAGGGAGGGAGGGAGAGAGAGAGAGAGAGAAACATTGATGTGAGAGAGACACATTGATTGGTTTGCCTCCTGAACACACCCTGACCAGGGACTGGCGATTGAACCTGCAACCCAGGTACATGCCCTTGACTGGGAATTGAACCCAGGACCCTTCGGTGCACGGGCCGACACTCTAACCACTGAGCGGCACAAGCCATGGCTCTCTTGCTTTTTAAAATCACTTTAAATAAAAACATTTTAATGATTACTAGTTATCTTAGATACTTCTTAATAACTATACCATCATTTTCTATATAAATTACTATTACTTTAAAGTGAAATAAGAAATAATTGAAGTACAATTGCCCATGAGACAAGGTTATTTCAGCAAAGAAGTTTCAAGAATCAATTAGCTATGGCCTTAGAGAAATAGATTTTTAAAGAGGAGTTGTCTCAGGTCACCTAAGGCATGTCTTTGCATGTCTTTAGTGCCCTAATATTTCATCTTAAAAGAGGCCACCACTAAAATCAGCCAAAGGTTTCACAGATACTTGTCAATATGAATTTTACAAAAGGACTTTTTTCTTTAGTTATCATGTTTTTTCTCTTATATCATTCAGGAATGAGACTTTTATGGCAATGGTGTTTGTACATATCACAGCAGGTAAACATTAATTAAAAAAACCACCATTAAACTTTTCTCTCTCATTAGTCCTTAGATGTCGATTTCTGATTTTACAGACCTGCTGTTATTCTCCCACAGTGACAGCCCACATAACTGAACAGCGTGTTCCTCTCCGACCTGTTGGGCGGAGCGTGCCGCGCTCTTCTTACCATAGGTGCAGGGCACAAAGCATGGGCTCCATCTGTAACGGCAGGGCCAGGCGAAGCTGCTGCTTAAAAGCTGCACAATCCTATGTGGATAACAAGAAAAGAGAAAACTTTAGAAACAATGAAAATGAACCGGGCTTTGAGAAATCAAGGCAGAATTCTGTCATTTAAAAAAGAGAGATGTATTTAGTCTCTAAGTATAGCACGCAGAATGGCAAGTGGGTGAGCACCGAATAGAGGTTGAGCAAATGAAAAAGAATGAATAAGTGAACAAATGAGGCCAGAGCTGGTCCTAGGACTGCAAACCTCTGTGCCTACAAGGCCAGGCAAGTAGGGTAACTGAAGGAGCAGACCGGGTGTGAGGCAATAGGGAAGAGTAGGGCTGTGGTGAACTGGGGAGCTCACGTCCCATCTGAAGGGGGCAGCATTGCTCACGTCTAGCTGATGGGTTTTACTGATGCGTAAGGAAAAACTAGCTCAATAATGCCACTACTGCAGACTTCCAAGGGAAGACAGAAAAACAGATTTTTATGTGAAATCTCTTGAATTTATGTTTAGAATTCGATTAAACAAAACAAAATGTTGTGCAGGTCAAACACGGCTAAAGCGAAAGCCTACCTGAGGGTCAGGATTAGCTCATGGGTAGCCAGCTTTGACCTAAGAGCTAGGGCAGCATCTTTAATTTCCAAATGATGAAAAGGGATCCAGAGGGCTGAAGCCTCTTGGGCAAGGATATTCAGCTAATTTGTGGTAGAGCTGGGTTTTTAAGCATGAGCATCTGCCCTTTAAGTCCTCACTTTCACTTGCGAACACTCTCAGACTGGCTGGATCTGATCAGACTAGTTGATCTGATCCTTGGGTCTCAAGTTGTATTTATATAAATCTTTGTAATGAGACGTATAATTTTCTGTTCTCACCATTTGTATTATGGGCAGCTGAGTGACTGAAATATGATGGTTCCTCATATGAAATGATAATGGAATTTCAGGCGTGCGTTTGGGAGAGTGTTTAAGCAGTGTGGCCAGATGTGAAGAATGGCAGTGAGGGCTATGGGCAGAGTCACGAGTAGGAACCACTGGGTCCTTTTGCTGGTTTCTGCTAAAATGCTGCTCTGTTTATATGAGGGTGGTGCTGTGAGATGGTTAAGCGTATGAAATGGCTTTAAACACCGACTCAGTTGCTTACTGTGACTTAAGCTCTTTAGGTCCATGTGTAAAACAGTGATAACAACAGTACCCGACCTGTAGAACTGTACTGAGGTTTAAATAAATCAGTGCATAGAAAGTGCTTAGAATGGCATCTGTATGCGGCAAGCACTCAGTAAATGTTTGCTATTATTTGTAACAGATGCCAACATTTATTGAGTGCCTACTATACACTAATTTACTTACAGTTATTATCTGTAATCATCACTACAATCCTCTTCATTTTATATATTATCTTTATTTTAATAGTGAGAAAATCATGACCTTGGGAGATTGAGTCTCTGTCTAATGTCACCCTGGTATGTAGTGGACCCAGTGTTTGAACCTAGGTCTACACAGCTTGTCCATTTGTTTAACCCACCTCTCCACTGCCTTGTCAGTATTCAACCGAAAATACTGTTCAGATCTTTAAATGGAGAGAAAAATCAACTTTGGTCAAACAACAAATACTTGTCAAGTCAAATACCAAAGCAAAGACGTCCCAAAGCAAACAATGGAAAACACTGCACGCTCGATAGTCTTCTGCTTTATGTGGAAACATATTGTTCTGGGATGGGAGAGTGCCGCAGGACTAAGAATGAGGCAGGCAAGCACGTGGTCCATCTTCAGCCTGCACAAGACCTCATTCCTACCCTTTAAAAGGCTATGGTGCTTAATAAATTATTTGCTTAATATTGATCAATCCATTCCCATGGAGGTAGCTTTTAGAATTGCATTGTACTGAATGTTGACACTGGGAAAATAAAATCAGGACTATTTTACTCTAGCACATTAAAAAAAAAAAAGTTCTTCCTTTTATAGAATTTTTTATACAAAGAAAGAGTAGAATAAAATATAAGCATTTATTAAAGTATATGAAGCATTAATATGAAGCATCTTATGTAAAACTGGTGAATGAAGGAAAGGAAGCAAAGAATGAAGGAAACAGGCAGTTATCGACTGCCAACGTGAGTCAGGCCCTACGCCAGGTGCTGTTACATACATATTACACATATTAGCACTTATTGAATGAAAACTAACCAAACCAGGGCCAAATATGTGTGGAAAATGTATGCAAATGTATATATAGCCAACTTAATTCTCCATGGGCAGATATTTCAGTTTAAACCTCTCAAATATTACTTAGACATAACTCCTTACTTTGACCACTCATTTTATTTAATTTTTTGACATAAAATATTTTTTTAAAATTAACCAAGCAAGGGCAGAGTGTCCTTTCAACCAAAATATTTAATTCATCATAGCTCAGAAAATATAAACTAGGAAACATATAGATACAAAATCTCCTTGCTCTAGGACGAACACAACATTATCCTAAGAGATAATGATACCTATTCTCGTCAATAATATAAATGGCAGGAATATATTATACAAGAGAAGAAGAAAAACATAAGCCACTACTGTCAGTCTGATTCTAAAGTAGAAGGTCAGTATTTAAGTTAGAAGCATCACAACTTTCCAGAATATAAAATGCATCCACATTCAAATGTTGGTTTTAGAATACAAAACAGTATTTCAAAGTCAAATAGAAATGAATTTGTTCACTATCCACTCTTTTGGATAATTGCCACTACTGCTATTTTTTCTTAGGCAAATAGTTGAAAATTGACTATATAAATTGTCGTGTTTTTCTGGGAAAATAGCCTAGCTTCAAAATGTGTCACCCACATTTTTATCGAAGTTACAACTTTACCAGGCCTACAAATTATAGCTCTTCTAGAACATTACCCTGTTCCATCTCATTAATATCTTCTCTTCTTTATAGTTTCATGGGGAAGAAAGGAATTTTGCCAGTGCCACTTATCCCTAAGGAATCAATTCATTTTGTGTTTCTCCAGACCAGAGTTAGCTATAAAGTGTTTTACTGACAGAATAGGACCAATAAGGTAGTAATAATATTTAAACCTGTGATTTAGTCTTCCTAGTTTTGCAATAACCCTCTTTGTGCCAACAAAGAAATTGCACTGTGATCTCAAATGTCAGCACCTGGCCGCGTTTGACCCAGTTTGTGTGTGGTCCGTCTGCAACCAGAGATTTGAATAAAGGTGAGCAGAACAAAATGGAAAGCACCATTGAGCTGCCTATTTATTAATTTATCAAGATAAATTGTGTGATTCATTAGCAAACCAGGTTGAAGGAATAGTTTCTCTAATTAATGAATTCGGGAAAGAACTGAGTGCTTTCACTCTCTTAAGTGTCAATAATAATCATCGTAACTTTCTATTTCTCCTTGTCACAGGTCAGGTCCCGGGAGCATGTTCTCAGGAGCAACACCCGTGCTGAGGGAAGGAAGAAGGGGCAGGAGAGGTTGAAAGGTGATGTAGTCACAGCAGAGGCCTGAGCCCACCCCCGAGGGAGCTCTGGCGCTGGGCGGGCCTGCAGAGGTGCAGCGTGTGCTAGAGCTGGCTCACACGGGCTTGGGCAGAGCCGGCTGAGCATCCCTTCCCCACTTCACAGTGACATGTAGATACCTTGAATCGAGAGGCATGTGTGTCGGGTATTTATACTACAGTGACTGGCAAATTCTAGAAATCAGAGCTTCTGTCACTCCCTCTTCCAAGTCCTCAACCTCTGGAGAACTGGTTTACCAGCAAACCCCCAGGTAAGAAAGATCGATTTGCACTTCTCTCTGCCTAAATCCATGTGATAAGTACTTGACTGCAGGCAGTGCTACAGAGAGGGAATGATATACTATACTCCTAGGTCTTGTATTGCTGTAACTTCTCCAGGCAAGGGGCAAGGTGCCCTCTGTTCGACACAGAGTATTCTTTGAATCCCAGGATTTCTAGTCCTGCTGTGTTGTCAGTGATCTTGATTGTTGCTTTTCTGAAAGAAGCAACTGAGCTCCTACGGAAACGAAGCCATCCTGGTAAGATACAACTGGGTGATATGACCACCAAAGCCCAAGTGACAGAGTTATCAAAGGAGTAAGTACTGACAATGACTGAACATCATCTTGGATAAAATACTTAAAAAAAGCCACCTGAAATAATTTTAAAAAGCAATGCCATTTCTTCATATATAAACATGGTTGTTCATAACAATAAGGTAGAATGATAATAGCTGTAACTTGTCTTTGTTTAATGAACTCATAAAATACTTCTGGAGCCAGATTAGAAAGTAAACCATAGGTGGGAGATGATTTTAAATATGTTAGTGAAGGCACACAAAGAATTCGGGTTAAAATCATTTCAGTTTAAAAAAAAGGTAATTCCTAAGAAGATGAACTAAGCCAATTTCTGTTTGCAAATATCAATATCTTTAGGAAACTCAGAGAGGTGATGTCAGAGAGTTCACCATTTACTGGGACAGCAGAAACTTTTAGGGGGACCATTCTGAACAAGGCTGTACATCTCTCAAAGTTCTCCGGAGTCTCTTACTCCATAGCAAACGAAAACAAGTGACCACCCAAGATTTGACAGAGAGATTATACAGAAACTCTTCTCAGCTGTGCCCCATACATCCTACACCCACATCTTGGCAGTGCAGCAGATGCAAGGCCACCACTCAGGCATCCAATTTAGGGAAAAAAACAATGGACACCAAAGGGAGGGGAACTTAACATTTTAGTATATGGGGCTAGAATTAGGAAACTCAGCAAGAAAAGTGTAGGTGATTCTGAAATTCAATGATTAAAAAATGACTCAGTATTGACTATATCTATCCTATCACCTATCACATTTCTGTAACAGGCATTAAAGCAGATAGGAAGTGAGGTTTCCAACAAATGTTCTTTCATGACTTAATTCTTGGGTGCAAACTCTTGCTCATACATCACAGCTTAGCACAGCGCCTTGCACATGGTCTCTCAATATCTTGTTCTTAGATAAACTGCTGAAACATAGTGAGGGCCACATTTGGATTCTATAATCAGCTTC